CTTAACATCAGGAAGAGACAGTTGAAATTTCTAGGGCACTTTTGACATATTTGATTATTCACAGTATGTTTTCCATAAATTGCAGAAATCATTTTTTTTTTTTGAGTTGCATTTCTAACTTTTCAAATACGTCAAAAATGTTGCAAATTTTCTTCGGTCTTTGATGTTAGAACCAAATAAATAAAAACATGCCAAATTTGACAAAATTAAAAAAAGAAATGCACGTTTCCATGACAACTCTCATGATACAATCAAAAGTGGTCTTTTTGAATGTGTTTAAGTAAAAACGCCGCTATGTTATCTTGTCATGTACCAAGAAAAACAGAAGCTTTTTAGAAGTTGCTGATAAGTTCTCAGCCTGACCCACTTTCTAAAATCTGATCAAAATGTCCAAACATCAAAAATTTCTTTTCATTCTTGGTTGTGCTAAAACATTTTTCAGCACCCCCTTGTATTTGAGTCTAGTTAAACCAAAATTATAAAGCAAAAGTTATAGAGTTGACTTTCAGGGGCTAATAGTTTCATTATATGGCACTAATTAAATTAACTGGTTTGCTCATAAAAAACAGAATAAATTCTTTAAAACTATTTTTGTAGATTAGGATTCATTCACTTTCCTCTACTTACAACATTTGCCAATCAAAAAATTAAAACATTTTTTTTTTTTTATCGATTTAGAAGTGGGGGGTATTGGCTATAATATAGAGCAGGGTTTCTCAACCTTTTTACCCTTGCATAACTCTTAAAATAAGTTACATGTCTCAAGCAACCCCTGTGCAAAAACAAAATTATATACCATATCTTTCTCATTTTATTTTCATTGTAGTTCAAGTGGTAAATATCATAGTCTATATTACAGTATTATAATAACCAAGAATATATTGTGTGTATTTAGTAATCTGGACATTGAGGTAGTAAGGTAATTTAATTTGATTTATGGTCCCCACTTATCCTTAGATATCCCAAGGCATTTTTCCTTGCATACAGTTTTTCTTTCATTCTAACCCAGCATTTCTCAACCTTTTTACCCTTGCATAACCCTTAAAAGAAATTACATGTCTCAAGAAACCCCAGTGCAAAAACAAAATTATATGCCATATTTTTCTCATTTTATTTTCACCATAGTTCACATGATAAATATCATAGTATATAGTTCACATGATAAATATCATAGTATATATGGTTTAAGGAAAAATTAATACTTCTTTGTCAATTTTTTTGGTAAAGCTAAACAAAATTCATACTGTTTGTTTATAATAAAACTTCATCAGGGAGTTTTCACTAAAACGTAAAAATAAACATAAGTAACCAATAGCATATACCTATAATATAAATGTACGCAGAATGTAAACAGTAATATTACGTACATGAAATTAAATAAAGTCAAAAGTGCATTAGCTTCTTATGGAACCCTTGGGGACCTTTTGCAGAACCTTAGGGTTCCGGGGAACCCTAGTTGAAAAATGCTGATATAGTGTGTGAAATCACTCCCTAACTTCTTGAAATGTTATCTGTATTTGAGGAAGGTTTTATAAATCTTTATCTACAAAAATCTCCCAAACACCTGACTCTTTTGATTTGTGCCCATTATATTCAAAGAAGTTCATGCACATCAAATTTGCCAATTACTTTTCTTAAAATCAATGTTCAACCTTCATGCCAGCAAAAAAAGAAATGGTGTGCAAAAAGGACGGTTATTCCCTTGACACTGATAATACTGTATACACTTTTGACTTGATTTAAATAAACACATAACCAGTAAAGCTGTATTTATAAAATTTTGAAAAATTACTTTTTCCCTGCATTTCTTTCCTTTGCTCTCACCATATAAATTCACTAAAAATTCTTTCTTTTCTTACATATTTTGATAATTTTGTAATCATTTTATAAATTTTTGAATAAAAAGATTTCTTTTCAAATTTATTTCTTTATAAAATGGTAAATAATAAATCTTTATAAAAGTTAAATAATAAATATTGCTTTGTACTTGGTTTATAATTTTTTTTAATCTTGTGAATAAACATTGCCAAAGGAGTCAAAAGTGTATATAATAATAGCTTTGTCAAGGGAAATGCTGTCCTTTTGTTTGTTTTTGTTTTTGCAGGTACAAAGGTTAAACATTGCCAATAATTGTTAATCAACTGAGCTGTGTTATACTTTATTGTTGTTTCTGAAAGTCAATTTAGTTAAAGAAGAAAAACTTGAAAATCAGGTTTATTCAGATTTAGCTATGACATTCATGATATGAACAAGAGCTTAGTTTAGCTTATTTTTTTAAATGAAATATTTAACTTCCTGTTTGCTGATATACAAATGGTATTTTCTCAGTGTCTGAGTAGTACTGATAATCAGAAAAGTACCAAGTTGTTTTGTGTGAAATTTTATTTCTTATTACTATAAATAAACTTTTCAATCTAGGCCGGTTGTTATTAATTTTACTGTTTAAGAAAATTAAAAAACAGAGATAACATCTCAAATACATGTAACCAATAAAAATAACGTAGTAATGAAATAATGTCAAATAAAAAAATCCATTCAAAAATTACTGTGAAATTTTATGTAAATTAACGATAAAAATTACACTATTATTTATGTACGGTTTGACACTTCTGCCAAAGATCAAAATATTCACCAGCTCTCTGCTGAGAATCAGTGCAGTATCTTCGCATTCTGTTGTTTAACTTTGTATTTACAAGTTTTACCATGCTGTGCGAGAAGCAGGATTGCTGACATTATGTTTATCCCACTTGTCAGCTTACCTCTGGGTCAGAGGTTCAAATCAGCAGAGGTTTCAAATGTTTTTATTTATCTGTTTATTTTAACATAACAGGATTTTTCTTTTAAATCCCAAATAAAATCTGCAATGTTATCGGTTCTGACCTGGCATCTCAGCTTCACTCACTTTCCTACTGCTGTAACGTATCTTCCCTATGCCTTTTATATAAATATTTTCATGGCACTTGTTCTGATCAGCTTTCCTCTTTGGTACCTAAACTTTATGAATTTAAGCACAGTACTAGATTGGTGATTAGGTCTCCTCATTTTACAATTGAAATGACTAGATGTAGCCATAAATTCTATGCTAACAGTTTCTTCTCCCACACTTCTTGCTTGTGGAACTCTCTTCCAATATCTTACTTTCGTCTGTTTTGATTCCAGTTCTTTTATTGTTCTCTCTCCTTAATAATGTTTTCTTTATCTCATATTCTCTCACATTCAGTAACTCTTTGTGTCTTAGGAGCTTTATTGCTTTGCTTGAGGTAAAAAGATTTAAAAAAAAATGTCATATCTTTCCAGGATGTAGGCAATCACAGTTCTTCATAGATACCTTTTTTCTTTATTAGCTGTGAGTTGCAATGACTTTAAAGATCATGAACTGGTTCCCAGTTAACTTCTCCACTGTTTTGAAAATAGTCTTTCTTCTAGACTGGCTGCCATCTAAGGCTAAAGAGCCAAGCCTACTCTGCTATTTAACCTATAGCTGGAGGATGATAAAAGTTAGTGAGAAAGAAAGTAAGTCACACTGTTCATGACTCTATATCAGTGGCTTTGAAATTATGCTGCCCAAGCTTATGGGAATCCATCAGATAATAGTCAGTCCTGGGTGTGACAATAAACTACATCCGGCAACAAGGTCTCTGATCAGGAGATTGAAGCTTTTGAGGAGCATGGCACCACCTGTTAATTGCTGTTGTTCCCAGGTTCATCCTAACCCAGGGTGGCAGTATCCTTTTAGGGTCCAAGCTATGGGCAAATAGTGAAACCCCAAACAAGCTATGGGCAAATAGTGAAACTCCAAACAAAACAATATGAAAGTATAAAAATACATCTTTATAGCAAAAATACCTGCAATAAATTTTTATGTAAAAAAAAAAAAAAAAAAAATAAAATAAAGAAAAAGCAACATGACCAACAATACATTTTATCTGTAGTTGAAGGCATACAATTGCATTCAAAATATATTTAGTTGATGCCATGAAATCTTGTGGCTGAGAAATCACATCCGTTGCAAAGCTATTGAAAAACGCAATAATTGTACACAGACTTGTACCATATGTTAGGATTTGAATATCTCTTAGTCTGGGCAGGGGCCAGTGGACAATTATTTTTTTTACTTTATTTTTATTATTTATTTTTTGAAGAAAATCAACCCAGGATATCCTTATTCAACTACTCATTTTATTAAATATTCAGAAAATTTTCTCCCACATTTTACTTTAGGTTGCAGGCATTCTAGGAAAAAGTGTTTCGTTACTGAAAAAAAAAAACAAAAAAAAAAATTCATGCAACTCCTTTTTATCTCAACCACCCCTTCTATTTTCCACCTTACAACTCCTTTCTTATGGACAAGTCACAAGCCCCTATCGCTATTCCCATGGAGAGTGTTCAGATGAACTCCACTCTTTAGTTCCTCCAGTCCTAACCTTCATGACTAAAATTTGCCATACACATTACAGCAAACCACCTTTATTCCCTTTGTATTCCTTTGGTGAGATGCAAGTTCCATTTGAGCAGATTCTTATTGTAGATCTGACTCCCAATAGGTTACTTCCCTGATTACTATAATCTTAACTTGTTCAAATTTAGGGTTAACTGTTATCTTCCACACATATCCACACAAACTGTGCCTCTTACTGTGTAACCCTCTAATTTGAGTGGCTCTCGAGTCTTGTACAGGATGAACATCATTGTAAAAAAAAAAACAATAAATAAAAGTCATTCATTTAAAGTAAAAATGAATTTTAAGAGTCAAAAATTGCTTATTATTGTAGTTTATTAGTTACTATTTGAAAACGAGATACTGAAAATAGGGATCTACAAGAATACTTTCTTTTATAGAAGGAATCCTTGAATTATTCCAGTCAAAAAACCATTGTTATATATGATCTTTTGAGTTGAACATGATGTACTTACATCAATTACAAAAATACTGTGTCTGTCAACAATAATTTTGTTTTATGAATTGATTTTCTTAATTTTTTTTTTTTTTTTTTTTGTAGCAGCAACCATGTCATCATGGCTTTCTGGTTTAACAGGAAAAGCTGAGGACTTTTTAAATCGGCTTGACCAGTCTGCTGCCGAAGCTTTAACAAAAGATGAAGCCATGAAAAAAGCATCTGCTGTCAGTTCCAACTATTTTGGGACAAATGCAGGGGACATGCGGGGAAGCTCTTGGGAGACACCCCCATCAGTGTCTAAATCTTCCTCCATCACGCTTTTGTCATCACAAAGTGTTCCCTCAAACCTGAGTGAGCTGAACAGTGGCAAATCTGATGTAAACTCTTCATTAGTTAGTACACCGATAAAGCAATCTGCAAAATTCAAAAATATCACATCTCAAAGTCCATCTCGAACAAATAAAGGCAAAGATTCTGATGATGCCCTCTTCGAGTTCTTGAATAGCATTGATACTGGGAATGAGATGAGAAAGAAATCACCAGGCCCTGTTCCAACAAGTAGCAAGCATTCTCGTCAGTCCAGTGTCTCCTCAACAATATCCAACATCTTGTCATCTTTGGAGCAAGCAGATGATAATGCATCAAATGGAGTAACAAATGGTGCAGCAGGTAAGTACTTGTGTGCCTGTGCATATGTATGTGCATCTTATTATATTACATAAACCTGTAAAAGTTCAGTTGACCATTTGATTAACCATTGAAGCAATTGTCAGGGTTAGATTTATCAAATAACTGGCCCTGACAAGTGTTTTGATATGAAACTGGAGTCAGTCAATCAGATAAGGTCTATCGGATTTCTATTGATTTATTGAATATTATAGATTAAGTCTGTTTCAAATTTATACTTCTAATGCAGTGGTTCCCAAACTTTTTTTCTCTGGGCCACATTTTCGGAATGAAAATTTGCTTGCGCCTTACCAAATTTTATGTAATAAAAAGTACATTCATAAATAAAAAAACAAAAAACAAAACAGAAAGTTGGTTAAAGGGAGATAACTGTGGATTCAAAGTCAGAACATTATCATTGGTAACTCTTTCCTCCAATTTGCGGCCCCTAGTTACTATATTCTTAATACTTGATATAATGCAAAAATATCAGTGATAAAATCTGTCAGTAACTTATAACTATTTATATTGGGACTCATGCATGCAATTACAAGTAATCCATAATAATATTTTAAATTTTGAAATCATATTTTTGGCATATGAATTTTTTGAAACTTTCTAAATCTTTGATTATCTTTTAATCATTCCACTTCACTTTTGCTGCATATATGAGGTGGGCCGCACTGTTTGAGAACCACTGTTTTAATGACTCCATCTAAACTCTGAAATTTTATCTATTATTTATTTTTCCTCAGTAGGAGTAGATAGGTTTGCCTATCATCCAGTTCACACTTCTTCTTTAAAACTGGAGTAGAGGTTTATCCCTTGATTCCTGTTTAGGATTGCATTTCCAGTTCCTTCTAAAGTTTTCTCATTCTCTTTCACTCCCATTAGCCTCTTGCATCTTAGTGGTATTATTGCCTTGCTTGGGGTGAATTAATTTAAAAAAAAAAAAATAAATAAAGATATTATAATTATCTATTGAGTGCTTTTTGGCAGAAGTTTTGCTGGCCTGAAAAGTATGTTAAATTCTTGTAATCCCCACCTCACACACACCTTTTCTTAATTATATACAGGTTTGGTTGAAGACCAATGAAATTTTTCCATGTTTCAGACTATTTTTTTAGTTTCTAGGGAGAATTTGAACATAAATTGTCCAGTGTCATCTGATTCACAAGCTATTATCAAAGAGTTTAATTTTTGTGTTTATTGGGTTGTATCTATATCATTTTTTTTTTTTTTGCTAGTTTTCAAACCTCACATCTTTGCACATATCATTTTTACAAATACTTCTATTATCACATGTAATATTTAATAACAAAGGTAATGGAAACAAAAAGAATCTAAATGAAATTGGATAGATTATATATCCAAAACACATATTAAAAAAAAAAAAAAAAATTCCCAGCAGCTTTCGTTCATGAACATGTGTAGTTGCATCAACAAACTTAGTCTGATAAAATCTTAAAGGGTCAAACACATCACACGAAAACTTTTCCACTTTGTCATATATCTTTTCCTAAAATTGTTCTTGATATATAAAAATTTATATATTGTTTTCCTAAATACTAGAAGCATAAAAAACAACTCAACATCAATAAAATTCAATTCAATTTAAAAATATACTAAATATATTTCACACATAATTAATAAATATATATATATATATATATATATATATATATATATATATATATATATATATACATGCAAGTTAAGTGTACTCGTGGGAATTCCATATTGTTTTTATGACAACACTGATTATTATGAACATAAGTACCATTTACTCACCAACAAGTTTGACATCAGAAATGAATTACTTATGTATACTTTACAATTTTAATTACTCATGTAAAATAATTTTGACTGCAAGTTCTTAAAAACTAGGTGGAGGACAGGAGGGGTCTTAAAGCTAGATTTGCTTATCCAAAAATATTTACATTGACAACATTCAGTTTTAAATATCCATTTTTGATATATATTCAATGAAAATATGGTCATTTTATACTATACATGTAAATGTTCTAATAAAGTTTGCAGGAATTGCTAATAAAATTTCATTTAGTCATGAATATGCATGTACATATAAATTATTTTTACGATACTATAGTTTAATCACTATTAGGGAAAACATTTGCAACTACAAAAGTGCATCTTTATTCATGTCATTTGGTGCAAAGATAAATGTCACACCTGGTAGGGAAACATTGTTTCAGAATTCAAGTGCAAACTGATGATTATACTGTCAGTCTTCAACCTGAAACAGAAGAAAGGCAATATGGCACTCACTAGTAAATTAAATTTGAATAAATTTAAATATGAATCAACCAAATTTTTAAATAAATCAGTTATAATTAAATAATAAACGAATTCAAATATGTAACTACAATTTTCAAAAAATAAATAAAAATCAATTATTAAATTTAAATATCGAATTGAGTAAAACATTTAACACAATTTTTTTATAAAAAGTTCAACATCAATTTCGGTTTTCATCAGAATTGGAATTGATATGGTTTAATTAAACTTTAATTAAATTAAGAGGCAAGATTAATTGCTCAGCAAGGTTTACAGACATTTAGACAGAGTAAATTAGGTATATTTCAAACCTAGATTTATACAGGGGGGGGCGCTTATTCAATATATTGCATGGCTAGGGTTCCCGAGTAACCTTTAAGGTCTGGTTTTATATACAAATAAAAACTCAAAAAAGGCCCTTTTTTTTTTTTTTTTTTTTTTTTTTTCAAGTTATATTTTGAAAGGCAAACAAACTAAGTAGATACTGTATTATACTATACATGAAAAACATACGTAAATGTAGGGTCTTAAATAAAGTTTCTATTCGCAAATTTACTCCAGATTTGTGTCTTTAAAAAAGCATGAAATTGACAGTCTATTTCTGTTGGATACTTCAAGAGTTTAGGAGTCTGCTTTGTTTGCAATTTATTTTCATAGTAATTTGATTCCTTGGTAGAAATCTGACCTCTAAAATCGGCTTCTAACACTGCTATGATTACATATACGATATATTTCATAGGGTTCCTAGTATCCTATAAGACCTGAGTTTATAGAAAGAATCTCTTAAGAGAGATATTTTTTTTAAGTTTGCACCAAAAATACTCTCCTCAGTAAGTTACTCTACTGGTAACATGTAACCCAGTACAACCTGCTGCATGGTCAGGTCATCAGTGACTAAACCAGTTTCCCCACCAGGCTTTTCTGGTGAGAAGAATGTCTCAACAACTAGCAAGATCAACCTTTATCACTATATATAACTTCATTTGCTGTGCAAAATGTTTATCCTGCCACTGAAGGTGACTGAATCTGAATTGGTTAGAATTTCATAGTTGTGCTCTCATATCGTGCTATGGCAACAGAAAACCCTTTTGAGTGAAATTAAATATAAGGGTGCTGCAATTGAGAGACCTTGAGAAAGAATGCAGTGGAAAGGGAAGTAATAATAATTCAGAGTGTTAAAGGTCAAAATCAAGACCTGTCAAAGAGCAGATGAACCTTCTTGTAGGGTCAATGGCCATCTAAAACAATGGAGTAGACAAGGTTCCATAGCTATGTATACAGCCAGTTTGACAGAGGTTTTCATAGACTGAAATCAACGGCCAGAATGGAGGGACCTCGATGGAATCAATGACTATGTATCTCTGACCAAAGCAAGCCTTCAAGTTAGAGGACATTGGCTGTGGTTTAACCTGCAGAGAAATGGGCTCCGCCAGGTGTACTTGCCCAGGAAACTATGTGGAGTGGACTAGTTAGCTGCTCAGCTACACAGTGACTTTACAACCACACCCGTTTATAGGACTGATGAAGATTAGTATCCGAAAATAGAATATTCCTATTAAAATGTTTGTTGACAAATAGCATGAAGCAAAAAAATCAGTTACCAATAAATATTTTTTTTTTAACCAATTCACCTTAAGCAAGGTGATAAAGCCACTAAGACACAAAGGAGCTACTGAGAATGAAAGAGAATGAAAAGACTTTAGAAGGAACTGGAAACCCAAACCTAAACAGGAAACAAGGTATAAACCTCTACTGCTGTTCAAAAGACTAGAAAGGAGGGTGAACCAGATGATAGGTGAACCTATCTATTCCTATTGAGAAAAAATATTTTACTAAATAGAAAATAAAATTTCAGAGTTTGTTTGGTTGTTTTTGTTTAAGGGCATATCAACCTTTATGGGTTATTTAATACCGAAATCTAAATATTTTGTACAGAATTATATAGGAAAATGTTTTTAGCATTCCTTGACACCGAAATTGACCCTTAGGATATTACTGGATATGACTAACAGTGATGGAACGATTGTATAAATCCATAAGTTTAATTTTGAAAGGACATGTAAGTTTAGGGTAGGATTACAAGATCTTTTGAGTGCCTCCAAAGAACTGGATGATAGAAAATACATGTAAATCTCAGCATTCAAGCATACTTTAATTTTTCAAACCTTCCCCATCAGCTGCAATAGATGACTAACTTCACTCTTCAACAACGAGACAGACATAGATTAAGGATATGGTGAAGACAGGGATTGAGTAAGAAAGTGTAATAAAATAATAGTAATACTGAAGTAATTTCAGACCCAGAGAATTAGAATAATAATTTTTAAAAAAGTAATAAAAAGGAAATTAAACTCTTAAAGAAGATAACTACAAAATTTATTCTGTTAAATAAAAAGAGAACAGTGAATTATTGTATTATAATTAAACAAAACAGTTGTGTAAAAAAAAAAAATAACAGATTGAATAATAGTTTATTAATAATAAAAATTAAGCGTAATAATTTCAGTTTTGTTTCCCCGATGTCGTTTCCAGCTAAGGGAGATAACTGCAAAATTTTACACCGTTAAATAAAAACAGCGAACGATCATCGTATTAAAAAAAGTAAAAATAAAAATAACTTTTCTTCTTTAGTAAATTGCATTCTATGTTTATTTCATAGTGAAGTGTCGCTTACAGTCTTAGTAGGCACAAAGATTTGAGATGTG